AAATGCCTCAGATAATCAACTTAAAAGGTGGAAAGGTTTATTTTGGCTCATTGTTTCAGAGGTTTCAATCCATGGTTACTAGGTCCTGTTGCTTTGGTCCTGTGACGGCCCAGTACCTCATTTTGGGAGCACATGGCAGAAGAGGCCTGTTCATCTCATGGCAACTGGGAAACAAAGGGAGTCCCAATAACCCTTCCAAGGGCACACCTCCAGTGAACTAACTTCCTTCCACTAGGCCCCACCTCTTAGAGACTCCATAACCTCTCAAGAGTGCTACCAACTGAGGACCAAGCCTTCAGCACATAGGCCTTTGAGGATATTCCCGATCTAAGTTATAGCAGTGGTGATTAGTTTTTCATTAGTATAACAAAATCTCTCAGGCTGGGTAACAAAAAGAAGAGAGTTCTATTTAACTGACTGTTCTGGGGCGTTAAGGCATGATACCAGCATCAACTTCACTCTAGTGGTATCTTGTGGTGCTAACTCATGTGAGAGGAAGAGGCCACATAACCAGGAGGGAAATCAAAGATTCTGGGGAGTGACCAGGCTTATTCTTGTTATTATTTATAGCAATCCTCCTGTGTGACCCAACTCAGGAGTTACTTGAGAACCATCTTAACCATCTCTGAAAACATACTCTCAATGACCCAACCCACTCCCACTAGGCTCCACCTCTTAATGGTTCCACCACTTCTCACACTGCCACACTGGAGACCAAGCTTCCAAACCATGTACACTTGGGGGACACATTTAAAACATATCTAGAACATAGCATTCTGCCCCTGGCCCAAAGGTTTGTGTCTGTCACCATGTCAAACACCTTCATTATAGTCCCATAAATCCAAGGTCTTAAACTGTATTAGCATCATTCAAAAGTTCAAGTCTATGGTCTTGTCTGAGAATGGATGCAAATTCTTTCAGCTGTGAATCCCTGTGAAGAAAGCAAAAAACAACGTCATATACTTTCAAGATACATTGGAAGGACAGGCACAGGGTAAACAGTCCTATTCGAAAGGGAGAAATGGCAAGTGGAAATCTTAGGTCTTCAAATCCATCATCTCTAGCACACTGCAATGGCAGGTAAACTTCAAGGATACAGCAACTTTACTCCTAGGTCTTTGGCGGTCACAGGTCACCCGATTATTTTCTTGGGCTGGCTTTGCATGCTTCTCGCAGTTTCCCCTGGCAAGCATTGCACGTTGCTGGTTACCTTGTCAGGCTCCCTAATGAGGCTGCACTTTTGCAACTCCAATAGGCATCATCTCACTTGGAGCTCTCGATTGGGGCTCTGGCCCTGAAACAAATTTCTTTCTGATCTCCCAGGCTTTCTTTGACATCTTGATGAAAGCCACCATGAATCCCTAACTCTTACACTCTGCTTGATTACAGAACCAACACATATGGACAACACCAAGGTCTGCCATCAACATGAGCATTGTCCGAGCAGAGTTTGAATTATGACTGCAACTGCAGAGCACTCACCAGAGAACCAGAAGAAGAATTCCCAGTGTCCCCTGGGTAGCAACCTGTGGCAGGTTTCCCAGGTTTTCATGAGACAATCTGTCCTTCTGAGCTTATGATGGGAGAGGAGGCATCACAGATTTGAGACGGTCTCTGAGCCTCTGTCTCTTGTATCATGGCAAAGAAAATGGCTCCCTTTTATTCCTGCCAATGTCTTCTGTAGAAAGCAATTGCTCAGCCACACACTTGTACAATTTTTTCACTCTTTGTATGGACAGCCTGCAAAGTCTCTCTTTCCAATGTAGTGTCTTTCGCTTCCAAGTCTCACTATAAATCTGACTAAAGGCTACAGTAATATCATACTGTAGCACAAATGTTTTTCTGTTTAGAAACTTCTTCTGCAAATAAACTAGTTCATCATTCTTCAATTTGACCTTCCCTAAATCCATAGGGCTTGGACACAATGCATCCAAGTTCTTTACAATGGCAAACCAAACAGAGCCTTCATTCCAAATTCCAATGGACTCCTCATTTCCATCTGATATTACTTCCCTAGTTTCTTTATCTTCTTAGACCTCACCTCACCAGATTTGCCTGTATAATTCTGCTTACAGCATTCCAGGATTTTTCTAGCTTGTTTCTTTAAACTCTTTTAATCTCTCCCTATTATCCAGTTCCAAAGCCTCTTGCACATTTTTGAGTATTTTTTTTTATTAGCAACAGCCCCACTTTTTGGAACCAATTTTGTGTATTAGTTAATTTTCTGTTGTTAATAACAATACTAAAGACTGAGAGAGAAAGTTGAAAATCAATCTATTTTGACAAAATAAATCTTCTGACACAGATTTATTCTTACTGACAAAGTCCAAAGATGCTTAGGACATTACATGGCAAGAAATAGGGAGCCCATGTGTCGGTCGGTCTGTCTGTCTGTCTGTCTGTCTCTCTCTCTTTCTCTCTCCCTCTCTCCTTCTAAAGCCACCAGCATTCAATAGGACTCCACCCTGCTAAATTCATCTAGTCCTAATCACCTCCCAAAAGCCCAAACTCTGAATACTACAGTCAGATTAAGTTTCTATTCTCTACCTCACAATAGGAATTAAACTCCAATTGAGTTTCAGAAGAGACAAATCATATTCAAACCATAGCAAAGTATCATCTGTGAAATATGAATAACCACAATACATATTTCTTAAATATTAAAAACCCACAACTATGCCTTTCATACTGTAGTAATAGGGTAATTATTAGCATTGACAAGACTTATCTTTGAACAAAAGTTTATGTGGCCTTCACTGTTGTTAATGGACTGAATTGTGCCCCCCTCCAAATTCATAAGAAAGTTTAAGTCTCCGGACCTTGGAATGTGACTGTATTTGGAGGAAGAGTCTTTAAAGAAGCGATTAAGTTATGATAAGTCCATTCATATAATCGGTACCCTTTACCAAGAGGAAATTAGGGAAAAGACAGAGAAGAAAGACCATCTGAAGGTGGAGGGAAAAGATAGACCTTTACCAATCACAGAGAGAGGCCTTGGGAGAAACCAGTCCTTCCAACAATTAGATCTGAAAGAATTTTCATTCATTCTCAAACAAGAGCATGGACTTGAACTTTTGAATGATGCTAATACAATACTCCAGTCTCCAGAGTTTTGAGACAATAACTTTCTGTTGTTTCAGCTGCCTAGGCTGTGGCACTTTCTTATGACAGCCCCAGGAAGCTGATATAATTGGATTTTAAAAGTTAAAAATTCTAATAAAATTCTCATTTGAGACTATTGAATAGTCAACAGACCTTATGATAGTAGACACCCCATAACTATATAAAAAGAGTAGATTAGATGGTAGTTAAAATAGTGCCCCCTTTAGAGACAATGGACTATCCAGTGGGACACAGGGCTGCCCTTTCCCATTTTCTCACTTCCAATTCTCTTCACACATTTATGTTAATTCACTTGGCCTCACTGGTGTTTAAAGCCCCTGATTTAAAGATCTAGCTCACTTTTGGTGATTATTTATACTAGCTTCTACTTCTCTACATTTAATTGCATAATCGCTGGTATAGAAAAAGACTTAGTGCTGCCCTCTTACCATGAAAATCCTTCACAGAGATGAGAGCATACCATCAGCGACTTAGAATTGTTCAAAAGTAGTTGACTCTGTAATAGGAAGTGCTTTAAATACCAGCAATAAAATACATATCTTAAAAGGCACATTTTAAGTATATGTGTGTGTCGTGACTTCATATTTGATCATTGCTTTCAACAAAATAGAAAATATTTTCAATTTTCAAACAAATTTGGATATCATGAGGGCATAACCTTCACTTTCCCGATTTGAACTGACAACTCATTCACTTTTCCATGTATAGCACATTATCACATCATTTGTAAAAATATCATTGTGTCAAAGATGCCCATCTAGGACCCTATCTGGTGAGGCCAGGCAGTGAGGCTCTCTGCAGTAATCCCATGCTGAGCACTCTGTAATGAGGATGATACCTGCTCGGAGGTATTTCTTTACATGGGTTGCAACTACCACTAGAGATTTGGTTCATGTCTGCTGCCAACTGGTCAAAGAAATATTGTCAGTTTTTTAATAACAAGCTGTAAGCACTTGCAAATCAAAGGGAGAAAGGAAAAAATGAGCATGCCCAAAGTTATTTCCATAGGCAAGCTCCAAAGTATCCTAAGGTTAACACCACCTAATTAATGACGGCACCAAATGGAGCCAAACGAGTGAAGTCTGCAAATGCCTAATAATGAGGATTAGATAGATATACCCCACTTTGCATGCATGTTCATAGGCTGCAAAATGTAATTGAGGTAAATGGGGTTTTCTACTTATTTCTTATTCTTTAATTTAATGCTGAGTGTGTTTGGCTATTCTCATGCCTTACCTCAAAGAAACTCAACTAATTGTAGCAGATCTGTAATGTGGTGACATCACTGCTAGAATCCGTGACACAAAAACCCATGAGGTGGATTTATAGAGGGTGGGTTTGGTGGTAGGTACAGCCATACCATACAGCCACAGAGTTAGTCTCTCCAGTTAGGATTGATGGGGCCTGTGGGGTGGAGAAGGGAGGGGGCTTGTTGTTTTCAACTCCTAGGGCTTTTAAACACTAAGGCTTTCCTCCTCTTCCTCCTCCTCTTCCTCCTCTTCCTTTTTTTTACTGCTCAAATCCAAATCTTCCTTTAACTACCATGACCCTTGAATGAAAAGAGCCATTGAGTAGGATCTGAAAAAAAAATGGCAGATTTTAGGAACAAGGGATT